AATGGCAGCTACAGGAAGGACTTTCCTGGATCTCATAGGACCCTCAAGACCATATAGCAGACACCAGGAAAAATGCACCAGGCAAGAAAGAGGAGGTACAGCAGGACCAGTAGGTCAGAGGTGGTCCTGAAGGCCATCTCCAACCCACTGCTGGTACCACCACTTATCCCCTTCCTGCCAAAGGAAATTTCCACCCACCCCAGTTCACTGGTTCACTCGTGTGACAAGTTTTTCCTCCCCTACCTCTGCTCAGGTGTGACTTTATCAGCTGTTTTTCAGCCAAGAGGATGCTTCACACCAAAGGGATCCAGGGACAAGCCTTGTAATTAGGACATGGGTGCCACCCACCAGTTAACCCCTCCTCCTTCCTCATTTAGCCTGGGAAGCATAAAGCTGGGTTTGTTAATATTGCCCATACAACTTAGCATTTGTGCATTCTGCTTTCTGTCTTCAGAGCACTTCAGCAGGTGTTTTGCAAGCTTCTTCCCAACTCCCATATGACAAAGGATTTGGACAGGGGATGAAAGGGGATCAGGGAAAAGGAAAGCTACACAATTTGCCCCAGAGCAAAAAGAGCTGGGAGTAGATCCAGGATCAACACTCAACAGTTCCTGCCTCTGAATCTCATGCTCTGATCTTTGCTGGTACCTCACTACCTTCAGGTTCAAAGCTGGTATTGTGGAGCCTTGTTCTCCTCTTGGTACCAGAGAGCAAGTTTCCTTTAGATCACACCCACTGGACTGAGTGGTCCTGCACCAGCAATTAAACGATGTAATTTTAAACATCTGGCAGTGGTTTGTAAACTCATGATCAGCACATGTTTCCCTTAAGAGCACCATATGTAAGAGAAGCAAAGGATTCCTCCATTCACACAAGCTGTGTATTGGGGTGGTTAAAGCAGGACCACTGGACTGACAGCCTGCACTCCCCTCTTCTTTGTGCCTGCACTACTCTTGGTGCAGAGAGTAGGACTTGATCAAGGACTGTCCAGCTCTACAAAATCCCTAGGAGAGAAAATGTTTGATTTTTTTTTCCTGCCAGACCAATGCCTCTGCATCAAGCAGCTGGAGAAATGTGTGGGCCAACAAAGAAGAAGGTGGAGCAGCGAGTGCTTGCATCAGGCTGCAGAATGAGAACAGCTTAAACTCCTTTTCCCGTTGCTAGCCATAACAGTGGAGTAGCTCCAGGAATGTCAATGGAACTTCAGCAGTCTGGAACAGCACTATCATTTCTATCGTCCTGTACCTGGATATATCTGGTCCAATTGCCCAAAATTCTTGATATATTAACAACCCTGCCACAGCTTTATTGAAGGCACTTCTGACTCACTAAGTCCCTTAAATCATTGCTGGACCAAGAGCAGCCCCTCTCCTGGGAGTTTCTGGGTCCACAAACTACTTATTTTCTCCCAATCAGTGGAACAGTCTTGTAATGGAGTTTGTTTTGCTGCAATCTTTCATTCTTGCTACAGAGGGAAAGGAAAGCTGATTAACACAGAGAGAAGAGACACACTCCCCATCTTTGTCTTTTAATCATAAGGAAAAATCAAAAGGTTCTAGCAGATAGAGAGCCAACTAATCAGAGTTTTCTTGGTCCCAGACCCACCAAGAATCACCTCTCTGAGGTGAGGTAAGAGCACCACTCTCAGACCCTTTGCTCTGTCAATCCCTTTGTCTCTGTCTGAACCTGCCATTTGCTCTAGTCCTGTCATTGTGTGTCAAGGCTCTGCCCCTTGCTTTGCTTCAACCCTCCCAGATCTAAAATAGATGTGAGGCATACAGCATCTTTCCCAAAGCCCTCCAGGACCTGCTGATGAAGACTCAAGAAGCATTAGAGGACTCCAGTGTCACCATTGCTTTGGGGACTACTCCTTTCTGGGGTAGGAGAGGCTGGCAATTAGAGGGATCAAATCTCCAGCCCTCTGTTTCATGAGAAGGGAGGGCAAAGCAATTTTGGCTTCTCCACTGCTGGGTATGCAGGACAAACAAACACAAAGTGCCAAGGCTGGAAACCGCAGGCACTGGGGAGCCTGAAGCAGCACTGGAGCTGCACTGTAGACAGCCTCAAACTCTGGGGCCAGGTGAGGACTACCAAATCCACATACATGCAGGCTGAGTAATGTCCTGAGGAGCCCAAACAGACATGGAAATGGCTGGGACTTGAGAAATCTTGCCCAAGGGCCAATGGGGCTCTAGTGAGTGACCACACCAACTTATGTAGATCCCACATTCATTAAAAGTAAAATTACTATCTCCCTTTAATAACATTATTAATGATGTCTGCTGTCCTAGGAACCAGAATTGCTTGGACCTCACATCTGTGGAGGAAATCTGAGCTTATGCTGAAGCCTTCTGGTGAGTGAGCTTTGCCGGGGTCCCTCTGTCACCAGGCCTCTCTGGTGTTTAACTGAGGTTTGGTCTATGCCAGGCCTTCCCAGGGTCAGTCAGTGAGTATGTCTGTCTTTCCTTCCTTCAAAACCCATTTCCACAACACTTGATGGTGTCCTCAAGCAGAGCATCTCTACTTCTCAACAGTGTTTAAATGGTATGAAGAGAAGGAAGGGGCACAGACTCAACAGGCACATAAGTCCTGTCTTTTCTTTAAGATGGCAACAGGAAAGAAAACAGACCAAACATTATTTTTCTTGGTGAGAAGGGATAATTTCCTGTTCATGATTCATCGCTGTCATGTGGAGACAAAGACAGTCCTTCATCCTCCTCACAGCTTTGTCTTTAAAACACCGCTCATGCCAGCACACCTCTCCAGGTAAGGTGCAATTACCTGGGAGTTCACTGGCTCATCACTAGCAATTATCCAACTGCCCTGTGTCCCATCAACCCACCCTAATCACTACAGCCCTAAAACTCATAGCTCCTACAGTAAATACTATCATTAAACCTCTGGGAGGGAATTTACTATCAGCCATGGAGTGATTGCTTGCTGGGGTCACTGCAAACATGCAAACTGAACAGAAGGATTGTTATAAAATACAATCCCACTCAAATAAAAGCAGACACTATTAGCAAGCAACAGGCACTGTTTATTCCATAAAATACCAGGAAAGATGAGTTATTTAATGACTGACATGTTATTTAATCAGGGAAAGTCCTGCCTCACTGGAGCTAATGTTCCCAGCTCATAAACTGCCTCAGCTCAATTGGTGGGGAGATACAAAGTGAGCTAAATTTGTTCCTGTTTATGGCCTGCAAGGTGTGGGTATGTTTTCCCCTCTCTTGGGTTTCAGACTGACATTACTGTTCATGGGTTTAATAAAGCCTGAAGAATGTACTGGCCTTAACCCTTCAGAGAAACAAGTCTTATTTGAACTAATTGGAGCAGGGAGAGCTGTTGGTTCAAGTAGGAACATCATCCAGTCCCAAGCTGCTCAATTTAAAAACATGATTGTCAAAAAAAAATTAAAATACCCTGTTTAATTCACTAAAGGTGAATTGTTTAATTCACCTTTAGTGAATTTTCATGTTTATTTGTTTTCAGGTTCATCTAGGTCAAACCTCTTCTTACAACATGAGACAGACGTTTTTTCTTAGCTTTCATTTAGATACAAAAAGCATCACTGATTCTCACAGATCTAGTAACTGAGTTTTCTAGGCAGAACCTCTACTGCTGTAAGCCCACCACTCCAAGATTGTAAACTTTGGCAACATTTCAGTATGCAGGATAATTTTTTTAAAAAACTGACAACTTGTGCTACATATTCCCATTTAAACAGAGAAAAATGATGTATGTAACAGGCACGACCCTTTCCCTCTCTCTAATCCCCCCACAGCCCTGGGACAAGCAGACTGTGCTAATCTCACCCCCCCAGGTCATCAGTGCGAATCCAGGGCAGCAATAACATGCTGCCAGCACAACACTCCCTGCTCATTTTGTGATGTCCCTCTGCCTTTCCCTGCCACTGGCATGCTGAGGGACTGCTCTTCTACTATGAGCATGGTACTAGGAGGGACCTCCAAGTCTCATCATGCCTTTGCGTCTGTGGGAAAGAATTGTTCAGGCAGGTCTCAGCCCTATGCTCTAATAAATAACACAAGCTGTGCTCCAAAAGGTCTTGGTGTTGGAGTCTTGGTGTTCCCTCTTCATGCCCCACTTGCAGCAGCAAGACCTGAGTCGTGGCGCTGCTTTTCAACGTGCGCCACTGAATCCGTGCAGGACATCAGCCCTTCCACAAGCTCACCCCCTGCCACTGAGCCAGGAAGCTCCTCTGGGATGGCTGTTACCCCGTGGAAGTGGTTTCTCAACTGGGACAGCTTGGATGTGCCCTGTCATTAATGGCTGGCACATCTTTTCACAGATATGTCTCTGCTGGTTTTGACGGGTGCAAAATGGGCTGTGCTGAGTGCTGCCTCCCCGTGCCGGCAAACCTCTTACCCCAGCCAGCTCCTCACATCTCTGCTCGCATCTTCCAGGCTTAGGGAAAAGCCTTTTCTTTACAGCATGCCCCTGCACACGGCTGAGCCCTGAGCGCCCTTCCCTCCTCACCCCCAAGCTCCAGAGGGACGGGCTGCAGGAGGGTTACGCTGAGGCAAGAGCAGAGCAGCTCTCTATCAGCAGGAAAAGCTGCTTCATTTCAATGTAAAGCCATCTTCTTTTAGCACATCTCAGAGCCCCGGGGGCCCTGCAGGGCTTTGTGAGTTTGACTAATCAGGAGAACCCAAAACTAGCCAAAATTACTCGTTCCTCTTGGGGCAGGAGAGCTGACCACACAACTGTGGGAAGGCGCTTTGATTCCCCTGTCCCTGCGCAGCTTTTCCCCAGGCATCCCTCCCCCAAACCCCACTGCACGGTCTCTGTCAGTGCCCCAAACCCCTGTGATTTCCCCATCCCTTCCCCCAGGTGCACCAGCTCCGCTGCCGTGTCTGTGCGGAGCGCAGGTGCCGCTCGCTGACAGTGCGGAGTCCCTGTCGGCGGCCCCCGACACCCACGGCGTGGAACTGCTCCCGGCTCGGGGCTGGGGCACGGCCCGAGGGCGCCCAGGGTACCTGCAGGAGGGCCGGGCCCTGCGCGCTGCTCCTCGCCGCGATGCCCCGTCGCTGCCCAGCACCCGCCGTGCTCCCGGAGCCGAGTGGGGACGGGAAAGTCTGGCTCCTCTGCTTCTCGTTGCCAGGACACCTTGGCGTTCAAACCTGAGCTGGGACCAATCAGCCCCGGGGCTGGGGAGCACCAGCCCCACGTCATCCACTGCTGGCGTTGATTTGAGCGAAAAAGCGTGACAGCGGTCACAGAGCCCGTGGGGAGCTGCCTTTGTGCGGGTGGGCTCTGCCCCCACCCCTGCCGCTCACTGGAAGCCTCTTCTGTCGGGCTGCGGAAAACAAAAGGGACGTGGGGAAAGGAAGGGAAAAGAGCACTTCTTCTCAACTGCCAGAACTGTGTTTACAAGCCTGGGTTCTTCTGGGTGTCCTCTTTCTCAGCGTCCCGGCCCCTATCCCGGTGGTCACCTTACCAGGGAGAACCTCCCGGTGGTCACCTTGCCGGGAGCGGTGTCGCTTTCCCAGTACCGGCAGTGTGCTCCCTGTGCCCCGGTGCGGCCGCTGCCACCTGCCTGGCTCTGCCCCAGACGGTGCAGCGTGGGTGCAGACCCGCAGACCCACGGCTCTAGGGATGCTTTCTGGCCTGGCTGCAGTCGCAGGGGCATTTTTTTTCTCCCAGCCAGCCCCTGTAAGATGTTTTTTTACGGAGCCCAGAACTGGAGCCTTAAGCCCCTCATGAGCACAGAGGGCTCAGGTGCACAATGCAAACAGTCCATCTTTGTTAGGGAAACTTTCCTGTCTGACCATTCAGGAAGCACTCTGGCCATCACACTCCCAAAGGGTCAGACAGGAAAGTTTCCTTAACACCCCAGTGCTGGCTTCTCTGCTCAAACACGTGCAGCTGCTGCCAAGGTGCAACACCTGAGTGAAAGATGCAGCCATCACCTTGTTTCCTGCAGTGCCGGAGGTGGGAACTGGTGCATCTTGACTCCTCACAGACAGAGAGAGTTCTTCCCAACCTGCCAGACTCCTTCCCAAGGTACAGGTGCCTGGGTAGATTCTGAAGAGAGATCTCCACATCACCTTGGTGGTGGTGTAGAGGGATAGATAACAGCAACCCAGGTATTCTGGCAGAACTTCTCCCCTTGAGCTCCCTAGACCCTCCAACCCAGGCATCTATGTGGATCTCCTTCCTGCTCAGGAAATAATAGTTGTAGGACAACATCCTTCACACCCAGACCACATGCTGAACCTTTGGGATAAGGGCACCTGGCTTCTGCCAACTCTGCCCCCTGTCATTTATTCTCCCCAGAAGAAGACCACTGAGGTTTTGCCAGGTCACAAGAGAAGGTGACCTGAAGAGGGGTCTGAGCATGCTGGAGGGCGGAACCATAGGATCAGCACATGTGGTGCTGTGCCTGACTCACTTCCCCATTATACCATGTCCCAAACACCCATTTCACCCCATTAATTAGCCATGCTGCTGAGGTGCTATGCAGCCCTGTGGCCAGCACTTGGGCTGGTTTCCTTGCCACCCCACGCCAGCAATTAGCGAATCCAGGCTGGCTCCTCCCCCCACTCTGCCCTGCAGGTGGATGTGGATGAGCTGTAGCAGCCTTTTCCCAGTGACCCCACATCTTGCCAGTACAGCACCAGGCAGCCTGACTGCCTTCCCTGTTTTTGGGCTCAATACAGCTCCTGGTGAAGGAGGTATGATTTAATTAAGGACACTATTTCTGCAGAAGATGGTCTGTGTGAAGCTGCAAAGGTCTTGAACTCATTAATTTTCAGGACATACCTGCAGTTAATTTGTGGTGACTGTGGAGCAGACAAGCACACAGGGAGGTGTCTGTGTGGCTCTGAGGTTGCTCTGCTCATCCTCAGGACCAAGCCTCCAGCAGTGCTGGTTAGACCACAGGTACAGATGTCCCTTGTTTGGCTCAGATACCTGAGTTCTCCATTGACTTGATGGGGCAGGAGAAGGTGAATGACAATCGCAGAAAGTGATGGGAAGGATTCACCCCCTCATTAGCTCCATCACCCCAATTACAAAGCTTGGGGAGCATGTCAGCTGTCAGGCAGGGTTACAGCTCCACTGCCAAACAGAGCAGGAGGGTGAAAACATTGACATTTCTGGCAGCCTTCCCAAAGGGAACAGACAAAATGGCAGGAGATCAGGTGTGCGTCAGTATGGAGCCCAGTGGATATGGAAGGACATCCCTATCAGTGCTGTCAGTGCTTTTAACAGCAGGTTCCAAGGGCTGAATGAGGCTGTAAGACCTGGCTGTCTGGGCACTGCCACGGTGTAGCAACACCCATGACAAAGGCAAATAGCAGCCTTGGCCAGTAGTGGGGCTTGGGGATAAAGCTGTCAGAAATACTGAGCTGTGGTTGTTACCAGCATTTCTCCCACGGAGAAAAAGCCATTTCTTAACTTGCACATGATTTAGAAGTGCTCCCCTTTATCCCCAACCCTTTCGGTCCTCACCTGAGACAGGAGTGAACTTCCAGCCCCCCAGTTCATCATCTCTTATCTCAGACAGCCTATCTTAGGCCCCAGTAACCTGGGGAGGTTCTCAGTCAATGGAAAAATCCTACTTGAGAGTGGTTTCTCTCTCAGGCGACTGACTCAGCCCCTGGAGGTGCCATCTTCCTCCTCCTCTGCTGCAGCAGGAGCCAGGTACAGCCAGGCACAGCCAGTGCCTCGTGTTAGATGGGAGAGGAGTCCTGCCTCCAGGCACAATCAGAGGATGTGAGATACCAAAATACTCCAGAGGGCCTGGGCCTCGCTTCTTGGCTAGGAGCCACCCCTGACCAGCCCCACACATTTTGTCCAGGCATGGGCAGCACTGGTGGATTGTGTAAGAGAGCTGGAGGGGCTGGAAGAGGGCCCAGCAAATATTGATTCAATTCTTCATTCAATGCATGTTCGAGTGAAGCAATTCAGAACTGTTCCATCAATTCAGACTGGCATAATAACATTAGCCAAAAAACTCAGGAACTTGGTCCATCTTTCCTAGCAGATCTATTATTCTGAATCATTCCCTGAGGAACAACAATACAATTATTGTTGCCTGATACACCAAACCCAAAAATCCTAAAAGTCTGAAAGCCAAAGGTTTTGTTTTCATTTTCCTCTGGAGAAGAATACGTATGGGAATGTGCCAAAGAATCAGTTCCTTGATTATTGATTATAAAAGAAGAGGAATAAAGTAAAATTAACTACATGTATCTGATAAGAACATTAAAAAATAATTTAAAAATAACACTTGCAAACCCCTTTTAGCACTTGGAGCAACCAGAGCCAAGGAAAATGACAGGGCTAAGAAGCAATTTTGTGTTGGCACTGCCAATGTGGGAACAGTGTGCAGGGAGGGAACTGTGATCCCCACCTTTCCACACATACACTGCACCCTTAAAATAGACTTGACTTGAAGTTGTGTGTTTTTCACAGTCCAATAACACCTTCTACAAACCTATGTCCATTTCTGCCCTCTCCAGCTCTCAAGTGATCATCTCTTATACCCCATGCTTTTGGCTTAGGCCTATGTATTCCTTGGAGAAACTCCTCCAAGGTGGTATTCTCCCTCTTTCCTCATTTCCCCCAAAGGGTCCTCCGTCTCATCAGATTTATTTTTCCACATGGCCAGTGGGAACTGAAACGAAGGTAAACACACATATTCATGCACGTCTCCATCTCTATATCTATCTGTCTCACAGGTAGGATGCAAACCCTTCTGAAAATAACAACTTTAACCATGGCAACGCACTGCAGCAACACAAACACAAAGCTACTGAGGTTGTAAAAAGGCTGGAAAAAAGAACAAAAGGAGGAGAGGGACTGGGTCCATTGAGGCCTGTTAAAGGCCAGGCAGCTGGATCTTGGTTGAGCAGCCAGTCAGCAGGGTTGGTATCTCTTCTCCCTATTTTTCCTCCCTTTGTATTTACATTTCCTTTTGTACTTAACATCTTGCTACATGGAGGACTTATTCCATTGCCTCTGCCTGCACTGGGCTTGACTGACCTGGAGGAGAGAGAGCTTCCTTCCTTGTGCTCCAAGCTGTTACAAAGAAATGTTACAAGTGAAGATCTTGGCTCCCTGAAAAATCTCAGTGCTGCATTACTGCATGGTCTGATGGAAAAACCAGACCTATGGTGAGATGCCATCATCTCAGCTCCACCCTCCTCCTCTAACAGAAGCTGCATGGCTCAAGCCATGAAACCAGCAGCCTCTTTTTGGGATATGGGGTACCCAAGCCCCCTGCATGGCAGATTCCATCACCATCTTGCTGTGCTCCAAGGACAGCTTGGATTGTACCTGCCAGCTGGAGAAACCAGAGCCCTGATTTACTCATGGAGAGGACGGAGACCATCGCTGGTATGGAGCACAGAGGTCCTTCCAGCTGCACAGAAAGCACCTGCAATGCAATCAGGGCACTCCTGGCACACTCCAAGCCTTCAGTGAAGACTCTGGCACTGTTATGAGAGGCTCTGCAGGGCCAAGGCCCTGTCCAGCAGAGCTTGCAGGCCAAAGGGACAAAATCGATGGGAGGTAGAAGAAAGCACATTTTGTGAACAGCACTTTCCAAAGATGATGGAGTGGAAGGGTTAAGTGACCCCAGTGGCAGAAGTGGTCACAGCCCCACTGCTGTTTCACCCCTCCTGTAACTGCTAACCCAGTTTAAGACACAGCCAGGAACACAGGACTGGCACCTGGTCTGGGTGGGAGGTGAATCTGGACAAAGCTGCAGACCTTTCCTAGCTACAGCTGAAATGTTATAATTTTTGGATGATTTTGCCTCTGTGGTGACTTCAGACCTCCTTTTAAAGGGTGATGTGGGTTGTTTTGGTTATTCTTGGTTAAAACGCAGTGAGCCTTTGCAGTCTTCAGAGTGAAGGAGATGATGATGATGATACTGTGTGCAGACAGTGACACGGGAGGTGGCATCCATGGCTTAGGAAAGCTGTTCCTGTGCAAATCAGGGAGAGGAGCACCTTCCAGGGTAACCAGTTAGCAAAGCTGGTGCCAAAGGGTTAAAGGGTTTTAGTGAAAGCACAGGAGAGACTAAATGGATCGGAGAGTAAAAATCCAATTAGGAGATCTAACAGGAAGAAGCCAAGCCCTGAAACAATAAAGTTAATAGTTTTTTTAGCTGCCAAAGAAAAGATTAGAGTGAGAGCAGATTTGTGGTGGGACCAGGAGGAAGGAAAAACTGTAGCAAAAAAAAAACCGCAATAAAAAATATAAAGAGTTGTTATTTCTCAAGACAGATTCACATGACAAGTTCATGTTACAGCTTCACCTACAGCAAAGTTCATCTCAGGACCCAAACTGTGCAGCTGGTTCTCACCTTTGCAATTGGCTGAATGCCTTCAGAGAAGTTTGAAATTCCAATTTGAGTCCATCATGGGCTTATCCGCATGAAATAGGCTGGGAGTGAATTGACCACAGTGAGGTTTGGTTGCTTATTATGCTTTACTATGTAATCATGTACATACATTTTACCTGGGATAAAAGCAAAGGAAAGGAGCTGGATCAGCCCTGCAAATGTTCCCTTCAGGTCTCAGACAATGCCAGGCTCTCACCTACAGTCCCTTACACACCATGGGTCTCTGCAGGAGAGCCAAGCAGATTTCAAGCTGGGAGGATGGATTTGCAGTCAGGAGGGAGACCCAACACTCATAAAAACACCCAGACAACACCCCTACCCTTCCAGAAGAGAAAGAGCCCTGGATCAAAAAAACCCCAACACGAACTCAGAGCTGGTTATGTGTGGTATGTACTGCCAATTACGCAAATGGGATCACAGGAGCTGGCACAGCCTGTGGCCAAGAAACAGCAGCATCTGGAGAGAGCCAGGGCTGTGGGGCAGGCATGTCTGCCAAGCCACTGTGCTGACCTGTGCCCCAAAAGGCACCTCTTTGAAGCCTCAAATCCAAAATATAATAGGGCAACACCGAGAAAGGGATGAAAGAGGATCAAAGCTCTGGAGGAGCCCTCCTGCAAGCAAGGACTTGTGCACACCAGGACTTCTCAGTCTGGAAAAGACATGGCTGGAAAGGTTATGGCAGAGGGCTACAAAGTCAGGCATGGCCCAAAGAAGGCTGACAGGGATTTGCCTTGCTGCCTCTTCCCAGTGCAAAAACTGGGGCTAATTCAGAGCATGTAGGTCCTCGTGTGGTGGGGGTCAGAGCAGGGGAACTCCTTGCCCAAGGATGCTGTCAGCTGTGAGTATTTGCATGAGTTCAAGAGAAGATTAAACCAGTAGATGGAGAAAACATAATCTGGATTAATAAACGCAGACAAACGCTGTTTACAAAGCCTGTGAGACTGTGCTCTTGACCTGTTTTAGTAGCAAATGGTGAGGGGCAATATGGGTCACACTCAGCCACGTAGACCTCACTCCTGGAGGCAGTAACAAGGGGTGAGAATCAAAGGAGTGCTAATCAACACGCCCCTGGGAGCACCTACTTCTCCCTGAAGCCTTAGGATGCTCAGTAATTCAGACCCTTGATCTGGCTTAGTGCAGGACTTTCTACTTCCTCATGGCTAAACAGCCCCATGGATCACAGCCTTGTCCCAGGATCAGAGCTGTTTATCAACAGGAAAGCAGAACACTGAGTGATTTCTCCCTATAGTGTGTGACCTCTGCCTACATCAAAGAAACTCAACCTCAACCAACTTATTTCTAAAGTGTGACTTGTTATACTTAGAACAGAGGTCCTCCCACTGAAGAATCCCACTGTGCCTTCAAAGAATCATCTATCTCTCACACGGTTCAAGCTCCATCTCCAAGCTCATGTGATCCTGCTCAGCCCATGGCCATGGCCGTGTTCCTCCACCACCAAAAGCACACTGCTCACATCAGTCAGCATAAAGCCACCCACCTTCCTCCTCCCACCTGCTTGTCAGATGGGAACACACTTTTGCCAGCTCCCAGATGGGAAGAGCAAACCTTTGCCAGCCCCATGCCAACCCCAGGGCAGCAGGTCTCCCTGCCAACTTCAGGTGTGCTGAACCATGTTTGCCAGCTCAGGCAACCACAGAGCTTTCATGTTTAATCAAGTGAAAGCTGCAAGGGCCTGGGGGCAGTAGATGTCTGGCTGTAGGTCAAGGTGCCCATGTGCTCCTTGTCCCTCCCATATTATTTCTTCCTCAACCATCCCTATGACCTTGCTTTGTACACATGATGGGGATGTGGGATGTGAAACCAGAAGCTGCAGTCTGGCTTTTATGGCCTTGTGGGATCCCCAACCCCAATAAGAGGTGCCAGGCACCAGCCAAACCTGTGTTGTGTCTGTGTCTTGTGCCTGTTGGGAATCACCTCATTCTGGCACAGAGGAGGACCTCACAGAGATGTCTGTTCAAGTTCTCAATAAGCCAAAAAATGCTAGTGTCTCTGCCTGAACTATGTTTTGTCAGCTCAAGGACCCTGACCCCAAAGCACAGCACTGCAGAAGCTGTGACAAACCTCTGTCCCTGCACACAGCAGAGGAGAGCTGTTTGAACTGGAGCTCCTGCACTCCCTGTGCAGGACAGAAATCTTGCCTAAGCCAAATGTTAATGAGATGGCACAGGCTCTGGGCAGGCTTTGTGTTTTTTTTCCTCCTGGATTAAGCAGCGGCATGTGAGGATCATGGAGCTGAAAGGCTGACAGCTGAATGTTAACATCAGGTCAACAAGCCCTTTCTTCCTGCCTTTCAGTCCTGAGATCCCAAAGTGGGAGGGTTACTTAAAGCAAACATTTTTAAAAAGGCAATTCTCCTTTCTTCCCTGTCTCTTTCCATTTCTTGCAAGGAAACTGCCCTGGGTTTGAAAGGCAGATTGGATGTTGCTTTTCCATGAGCATCCTTTTTCAGGATTTGGGAGGAACAGCAAGCCATGCCTCTTCTCCCATCTGAAGTCCACTGGTCTCCCTTTCCCAGGACTAACTCACACCTACACACCTGCAAGTGTCTGCAGGCACCTGATCTGCGTGCAGAAAAGCAGGCTTCAGCTCCTGACTCTGCAGCTGATCTGCTCGGAGATGCCAGGCGTGTTGCTCACAGCCTGACTCAGCCACCCTTGGATTTCCTTCTATTGCAGAAGCGTAACTGAGGTCTCGGCTCCGGTGTCTCTTCTCCAAAGCCAAAGTTTTCGCCCTCCCCTGATCCTCCTCTGGTGTGTGCTGAGATAGTGACATTCCCAAAGGAGCAGTGGTTTCTGTTTGATCATCTGGGTGGTACCACCACTCAAACACCACAAGCGGCTTCTTTGCCCCCATCCTGGTGTGTAGAGGACCGGAGGCTGCCCTGGCCTGCTCCCAAAACCACCCATTCCCATCAACGGTGTTAAGGACAGCAGAGCAAAACATGGCACCTTAAGGAGCTTTTTGCAAGGCAGAGTTGGATGACTCAATTACTACACACCTTTTGAAGCAGTGTTCCAGCAAACACTGGATGCACTGGATGGGGGGCTCCAGGGTAGTTTCTCCTGCAAAGAGAAGTGACTTGGGTTTTTTCCTAAAGGGATCCAGCTGGGCAGGGAGGGAACTTCAGAACCACGGCTGTCCAAGCTAAACCCAGTCAAATGTGCTATGGGGAGGAGAAGTTTCCCAATGATTCCCACTGCCTGTGCTATGGACACATCAATCCTGAGGAAGATGGGAAGAAACAGGAGGAAAAACAAGTCATAAACCACCACAGATGATTCTGTCATCACCTTCTGGCCACTGCCTTAAGCCTTGCTATCATTTAGATATTACATTGATTTAAAGCTGTTGGAGTAATCAAAGTGGAACAACTTTCCCAGCCATTGTTTTTTCACATAGACACAGGCAGACACACAACCACCCACTCCCATGTGTGTGTGTATATATATAAATACATATATATATATGTGTGTGCAGACACACACACACACACACCTGTAAAATTGAAGCATGATCCTTTATGTTTCTGTAGCTTATTCTTGCCTGAGAAGGAGGTACTAATACAGATTCTTAAAAGATGTCTTACCAAGACTTGCACCCCTGAAAAGGCAAAACTATTTCACTTTCAAAACACCTGCTACACTTCCTGTGGGTCTTTACACCAACAGAAATGTCATGTATCCTTTCAGAAAATTAATCCAAATAATTAAGACTGCAAATCTAAATTAGTGGAACCACATTAATTCTTTCTGTATACACTCTCATCTTAATTCAGGTTAGTTTGTAATTTGAAAAAATCCTTAATTAAATTGAAGGGACCATTAGTCCATTATGTTCCAAATGACACTGTCAATACAGCTCTTGGCTGATTTTAAATTGCCCGTCATAATTACACCGGAACAGAAGCACCTGAGAGTTTCTCTCCTTTTTGGGCAGACAAGAAGCCCTCAGGGCCTGTGAGGGGACTTGGGAACAGTGATAATCCATCCAGGCCTTTTATTTAAACCTGGTGCTGTGGACAGACCCACTTGAACAGAAAAATGGCCCTTTTGGGCTCTCTATCCTCTAGTCTCAGCATCTTCCCACCTCCCTGGCACCTGTTGATCTCTGATGGAGCTTAGGAAAGGAATCACTCACTTCCTAAGGGTGTGTGGGGAGGGAAAAAAACCCAGTGCAAAACATAATTCAACAGAAGTACAAGTGACATGACATGGGATAATCATTTGGGCAAATGGAGGACAGAGTGAGTTGTTTTTGCTGGAAAAGTCAATTGGGCAATAAGAAGAATTTCTATAGAAAAGATGCTTTTGATTATAATCTGTGATATGGGTTAACAATGCCTTGTTGGACAGTTTAAAACAGGTCCCTTACATGGTTATCTCTGCTCTGTGCTGGTAATGCTTTTCAATAAAAGTAAGCAATGCTCAAAGAGAGCTGCACAATTGGATGGAGAGTAAAGTGATGAGGTGTGCTGGTAAAGGAATTTGGATCATTTCGCCTAGGAAAGGGAGGGCTTTCAAAACATAAAGGGCTGTGATGGACACCAGGGCTGGTGCAGACAGAATTAAAGCAATGCTCTGCATTTGGGGCAAGGGCACTCTTGGCTAGGAGCAGGGAAACACCTCTATGTAGCTGTCAGGACAGCAAAAACCAGTGCCAGTGCTGCACTGGTGGGAAGTGGCAAGGGAAAACTCAGGAGAACCAGGACAGGGCTGGGCAGCATGATGTCACCTCCCCATGCCCTTTCCCCTTGCTCCCTTCCTCCCAGCCCAACAAAACCTCATGTTTCATTTGACTCAGGCAAGGAAAAAACACAGGGAGTTAGCAGCCTGGTGTCATGACAAGGCAGGTGGGAGCAAATAACAGCAAAGAGCCTATAATGAATTTATCTTTGTGTTTGGAGCTCATTGTTGCCAGCTGCATTTCAGTCACTGACCATGTGGTTTGTGTCATGGAGATGCTGCAGCCTGAAAAATTAGGGAACAAGGAACAGTAATTGTACCTAGCTCTCAATATTTCCATTTAGATCAGCATCCCTTAGCCTTGCATGCTGTTGCTAGCTGATGAAGGGATGGAGACTTTTCCTAGAGCTACCAGCGTGGAGATGAGACTACAAAATTATTCCGTTCCCGCATGCCAAAGGCACAGACGATTACAGTTTTTCTTCTGACTCCTACTCATCCCGCCTCATAGAGATCAGATTAATCGTGGCACATGATCAAAGAGATTGAAATGAAGAAACTAAAAGCCAAATGTCTGCAGTTACACTGCTGCAAAACCTGGGTGCAGATAAGGACTGTAATTTTGCTGTGCAATTGCCTGGGCTCAGAGAAGTGAGGAGCACAGTGCTAACCCCATGTATTTTTGTCCTAACAAATACTCTGGCTGCCCTGTTTCAATGAGAACTCTGTAAACACATTGCTATCCTCAAGAAAAGAATTCCTGCCTTTCTGGAGAGTAAGAGCAAGGCGTGAGACCCGTGAAAATGAGCAGAGCTGCAAAGAGACTTTGCCATGCAGCAAATACACGTGGTGGCTTCAAGCACTTGTGGGCTGAAGCTCCTGCACACAAAGCTCTGCATGTCCCCAGGTCACTGTGGGGTCACTGTGCAGGAGAACCTCCCCTGCACCTGAGCACCAGCATCACACCACACACAAGCCCCTAAATGCACCACCCTTCTCCTGGACCAGAGCAGTTGCTTTAATGGAGGATTGCCTCCCTGCAAGGGAAACTTGGCAGTGTGGGGCACGTGTATCCCACCCACTCCCCCTCCCTCTCCTTCTGCTCCTCCTCTCCTGCTCCTGGCACACCACCCACAGGCCCCACTCTGGCCACCCTCGGCAGCTCCTTGGAGAGCTCCTATGAAGCAGAGCCAGATGGAGCTGCCAGCTCTCCCTAGGAGATGGCACAGGCTTTCCAAGCCGCCTCTTCCTGGGGCTGCCTACTCCTGTGTGGGAGGTGCGAGTGAGGCACGTGTTGCTTCCCCTGGTGAGCTTTCCTCCAGTGTGTCACAGTGCCACTACTGAAGCCTCTGCTTGGTGGTCCTGCACAGCTGCCAAGCATCAAAGCCAGCTCAGATAAGCACTACATCACCTCTTCCAAAGGCCCTCTGGGTGGGGCACAATTCAAGGCAAGCATTGCAGCTGGTGACCCAAAAGCCAAGAGCTGCAATTTCTGTGGTCACCCCAAAGTGTGAGAAGTGTCTGTGTGCACAAAACTCCCGTCTGTGGACCCTCACCTTGCCCACTATTGCTTTGAAGTGGTGCCAGCAGCAGAATTCCTAGCCTGGGAAATGAAATTCCTGGGAAGGCCCACCTTCTTGCACACTCCCAATTCTTATTCCCACTTACAACTTTGGGAGGACCACAGGGAAGATTATCCACCACTGCTCCTTAGAAAGACCTGCCCTAGGTATCCTGTGCGATCTGCTGCCTACAAGGACAGCTGGCAGGTAGCAGGGGAAGATGTCACCTGCTGTGATATGTATCAGATGTGCAGATGACGTTTGTGCAGGGTGAGAAGAGCCAAGACCACTGTGGGCTGATGGCTCTGGCAAATCCCATCCTTAGGTAAAATTCTGTCCTTAATTCTCAGCATTTTACTATGTCAGTAACGGCTAGCACACATAAGAGAGGAAGCACAGGCACCCTGCCTGCACTGCAGATTGCCAAATATGAATTCAGATGCTGGCCATGCTGCAGAACCTTTGCAGGCTGCTCTGTGGGGCTGTACCACAGTTTCGAGCCTGCTGCAACCAGAGGTACCAGCACTGCTGCCTTTGGAGTATGGGAAGTGACCAGTATGGGACTGCACAGGAGCAAGCAGGCAGGTGTCAGATTTTCAGTGCTTGGGAAGCAGAATGCAGCCTTTTGTAGGCTGGATGGGTGACACTGCCTGACACAGACTTGTGTGTTTCTCACTACCACCATCGGGCTGTCTTTACACATTTCTGGGAATCAGCATCTGTGCCCAAAAAGCACTTCTGGCCTGAGTAGCCTTGCTGACTGGGGAAGGACTGGAATGCTCAGGGATGCAGCATTTCCTTTGTGGGGAGCAGGCAGCAACATCTCATCCTGACTTTTTTCATGGTGGGCTTTCAGCAATCAGAAAAATTGGAGGCAAAATTCTCTTGTAAAAGGAGAAAAACCCTTTCACACCCAAAATGGGAAGCCTGAGTGCTTCCCTGGGCCCCAGGGCTGCTGTTGAAGGTCTGTTATCTCCTTGGGAGCCACCACCACTCTTGCACAGTAGGAAGGCAGGCAAATGGTTTATTTTAGTGATGTGGACTTGGTCCACCATCTGGGATGCCACACCTGGCCTAAGGCCACCACCTTCTCCAGCAAGAGGGCTGAGGGGATTCCTAAGGTCCATTGTGACAAAGGGTGGAAGTTGTCATCTGCAGCAGACCCCATGAGTGACAACAGACACATGATAATAAAACAGATACACAAGAAAATCCCTTTCACCCCCTCTCCACTGGCCTTCACCCAGGACACAGGGTGCGTCCCTTCGCTGGCTCAGCTTTCTCCATGGTAACAGATGGATGTCACTGTCCCATCCCCCCTTCGTGATGCTGGGCTGGGCAGGGGGGAGACAGATGGCAATGGAGGGGAAAAGAGTCCAGATCCTCCTGAGTGGCAAAAATTGCAGGAATCCCTGATTGCTGGAGCCAAGACATTGACCCAGAGCCGTGGGAGGGAGGGAAGGTGGAGGCGCGTGGCTGTGCTGAGCCCGGAATAGCAGAGCAGCTGTTAAGTTATCACTTGTAATTATTACAGCATATGGGAGGGAAAGAATAGCTCTCACAGGGAGAAAAATAAGGGAAAGGCGGGCTGCCGCAGGGCTCAGCCACAGCAGAGTGACACTCGCACTGCAGCGGGTCCCCATCAGGTGGGCAAGGGCATCACGGGACAGCTCTTCCTCTCCACGGCCCCGGCAGGAGCCTGGGTGCAAACATTTGCACCTGCAGCAGATGGGCTCACCCATCTCCCACTGCCCACTCAGGAGCATGGGTATGCTGGGGAAAGGATGACAGTGGCTGGGGTGTTACAGAGGGATGGAGCCTGGCATGCTCCCCCTGTCCCTTCTCCATGCACAATCCTACTGCTTGCTCTGTAATTTGAAGGACGCAGGGCCACGCAGCAAATTATGCTGGAGCACAAAGTGCCCCAGTACACCACAGGGGGAACCCTCAGAGACAAGCCCTGCATGGGAGAGCCTGCTCCTGGAAATATGTGGAGCAAGGAAGAGGTGACATGCAGCAGCATGGGGAGAGTAGAGAAATTTGGGTAACAGTCTGTGAATAAGTAGCAATGACAGTCTCCTTTAAATTCTACTCCACTTGTAAAATAAACATTGTATCTCATCATAGCAGCTGGTATTCTGGGCTTTCACTATTAGAAAGAAAAATAGAAATAAACCCATTGGCAGTTGCACCAGCTGCATCCCAGTATGGGGACAAGGAGTGTCAAGGGGATGCCACCGCTCAAAAAGCTTGGGAGACTTAATGGAAAAAATCTAATCATATCTGCGGTGTATTAAATGCAAAGATTTAAGTTCACTGATTAAATTCACAGCCACTGAGCTACAGATTTTCCTGAAAGCCAGAGAGCATTTTGGGCCCATTTTGATGTTTACTTGTCCTGTGCAACAGGCACATAGCCACAGACGTGAGGCAAGATAAGGAAGAGATGTTAACCTGTCCTGTTTGTTCCTATGCTCTGATGGCTTCTCCCTGGGCATCTGCTACTGGCTACAATTGGAAATTATGCAGGACCAGGGACAAAAGGTTAAGGGGTTAGAATATATTCTAACAGAGAGATTTTTATATTCTCTTCTACTCACCTCTCTCCTGCTTTTCAGCTATATTTTTTACCTACTACAGCCTTCTCCCTGGCAGCATCATTAATTCACTCAGAGCAGGTGAATTGGCACTTGCCTGCTCACCTTGGTGAACTCTAGCTCATCCCCGGTCTCCCATCCCAAGCCAACCTGATCCCACTGTGAAGAGCTTGTGGCTCCAGTTAAAAGCACCAATATATGTCTGAGTAGGAGATGGGGAACCCTGGACACACTCGGCTGATGTGTCAGGACCAAAGCATCCCACCATTCCCTGACCTAAGCCAGGAGCTTGGAGCAGGGCCTCCCAGAGGTCAGCAGGACAGATACAGATGGGTGCTGAGCACCTGCTGGTCTCATGGGAGCCTGGAAGATGCCCTCAAGCTTTGGAAGCCCACTTGGCCATGCAGCACAGGCAGCTACTGAATGGCAATGCTACTGCAAACAAAGCTGTGACAGAAGCATTGGAAATGGAGATGGTTCAAACTCTGTGATCCAGAACAGGAGTGAATTGCATGTGACAGACAACAGCCCCAGCACCCGTTAAATAAACCAGCCAAACCCTGCCAGCACCCCAGGATCCTGGCCAAGACAGGCACTGTGCATGGAGATTGAAGGACCAGCTCTGCAGCTAGCACATACAGGCAAGCTAGCCTGGGCGGAAATCAGGGAGGCAGCACCCGTTTGCAGCAACTGGAAATCTGCCCTGCTGCTTTAAAACCACTGGCCCTGCCAGAAGGGCTGACCCTGCCCACGCACCCCTCCTGCTGCTCAAGTGCTCGCCTGGGTGACACTGTCATGGAGGGCAGAAAAGGGCTTCTGCTGCCTTCATCATGAGGCTGAAATGCTGCTTGAGACAGGTGTGGGGTGACTCCTGGTGTTTGGGGTGACCCCACCAAACAACTGAACATGGAGGTGCTCCCCACTGCACCAACACCCCACAACAGAGGGAAACAGAAATGCTGAGATTTGCAGAGCTGCTTGGCCTCATCTCCTCTCTGCAGTGACCTGGAGCAGGGAAGGACAGTGATAGGGCAGATGGGGAATGTGCCTTGGGGTAGGACACAGCTTGGGGCATCCCTGGCCACGGCATGGGGTTGGAATTAGGTGATCATTAAAGTCCCTTCCAACACAAACCATTCTGTGATCTAGAATGAAAGGATTCTCACAGTCCTTGTGCCAGAGACTCACTGGGAGACTGTGCTGGCTCCAGCATCCAGGAGGAGACAAAAAGCCTGCCAAGAGCTGCAAATGGAGGAGTGTGTTTGCAGCTCATTGCTATCTCCACACTCACCCTGAATTGGCAGTGGCTGAGCTACAGACCCCATCAGGGCCTTGGGGGCTAAGCCCTCCTGGTAGCAGGATGCTCTGCCTAGGTGGGGGCAAAACAGCTCAGACTTTACCCTATTTGCAGAAGTTATCAGGCTATCAGTGGCAAATAGAGTAGGAGGGGTCAGGCTGCTTTTGGTGCAGAAGAATGCTGAGAGGAGGCTGACTCATCAAGCCCAAAGTTAAACATTCTGAGGATGTGAAGAACAATGTTTCCTGACAGAAACTGGCACTGGTGAGGAGGTGGCAGACAAAGCTTCTGATAAAGAAACCAACAAGTGCTAGTACTGATGACTTATCTAATGGTGCTGAGCTAAAGGCTGCAGTGCTGACACAGGGGGCCCACAAACATATGGCTGACAGTCAATCACATCAAACTACAACAACCCAGTCCTGCTTTTTGATGGCAGGGTAAAAAATACCCCCTTTTTCGGGTCTGTGTGCAGATCCCACTCTTGAATGGAGACACCCCTCAATGCTGAGCAAAAGAGATTTGCCCATGGTCATTGAAATGGGTAACATCAATCTCTACTCAATAATTATTTTGCCAACTTTAGTTTAATTGCTTCAATATTTATAAAAATGTGCACTATACTAGTAGTTAAAACTATTGTGTAGTAAACAATTCTGATTAAAGTTTTTTTAGTCTAATCATTATAATCATCAATTGAAATAAATGGCTTATTTCATTCATATAAATATATTTGGTTAGCCATCCTTAATTCTGCAGCACAAAGTTGTATAAAGGCTCAATTACACCTATATAATTCTTTAGGTAGAAACCATTGACCAAGGGTTGGATCCAGACTCCTCTTTGAGAAGCAGTTTAGAAATCAAGGGGATCCTTTCTGACCCTTGTGGCTCAATGGGAGGGTCTCCTGGACAAACCTTGTCTGAAACTTCTATTCTGCCTGCAACACTCCTGCATCCCAAACTAATCCTGCAGCTCTCATTTGAACTCCCATGCCCTCTGCCTTTGTCTCAGGGCAGGGTGACAGTGATGCCAGAGCCATCCACACACACACACAGAGCTGCAGACATACAATCTGCCTCTTGCACTTTTGGCCACCTTCCCAAATGCCAGCACAACATGGCAGCCCCATCCATTTATTTTCTTTCTTCTGTACATCACTTGCAAAGTTGCTTGATTTTAAGGTAATTGCTTTTCCCACAGCAGCAAGGGCCTCTCATTTGTTTTTACATGCCAATAATCTAATCCACAGGTTTGTGTTTGGATTCCTGCTTCCCCTGGACTGTTCATAATAAAAAAAAAAAAAAAAAAAATCAGGATTGTGCAACAGCAGTTGAAAGGGAAAAGTAATGCCTCTCATTTTCTTCTTCAAAACCACCAAAACTGACACTACATAAAAGAGATAGGAGAAATCAGGGAAAATATAGGGTTTGAGATTTTTCCCCCCCTACTTAAAAACTAATTTTGTTAGTGATCATCCAGGGGGAAAAAGTGTTTGTTGCTTTGACCTTACAAGACCTCTAAATATTTTTAATCCCTTGCTATCACTGTGAAGCCCCACTTGGGGAGGTAGCAGGAAACATTCCTTGGAGGAACCTAGCAGCTTTTAGGGCTGAGCTTCTGAAGAGGGAAGATTTGGTGACTAATCCCAGGAAATCCCCTTCTCCTGGGCAAGATGACCTGTTCTGATCCTGACTGCTGTTCCTGGTGTGCAGCATTTTTCTGGTAAGGGCTGGCAGGTCCATACCCTGACCCTGAAAGGTGCTTGTGTAAGACATAGCAGTCATTTGGGTGGTCTGGGCACAGCATGACCTGCTCTAATCCCTCCACTCCTGAGGGGGCTGGAGGGGGATCCATCAGCCCAGCCTGGTCACTGCCTCCACCTCTGGTGCAGGAGAACAAGCCTCTCCTGCTGTGACAGGACTGCTGGTGCTCCCAGCCCGACCCCAGCTGCTTGTGTGTCCATCTCCCCCGTGCTGCCCGCTGGGGCATGCTTCCCCCTCTGCTCACCAAGTGCCCTCCTGCTGGACACACCTCCCAAAGGCTTCCACTGCTTCCCCCCAGAGCAGTTCCACCCCTTCTTTCTGCCCTGAGCCCGACACCTCTGTGTGTCCCTCACATGGCAGACGGTAGAGCCGTGTTTGCTGTACCCTGGGTCAGCACAAGCCCAGCACAGCCCCGGCCTGGGCGGCCGTGATGGCTCCAGGGCAGGACCAGAAGGCAGCACAGCTCAGCACTGTCCCTGCAGGCAGCACGGCCAGGGCTGATGGGTTTGCCGCAGAGGAGAGAGCAGCTGCTGTGGTACTCACCTTCAGGCCCCTGTCATGGCTCTAAGTGTCCCCAGGGCTGTGGATGATGCAGGTGACAGGAGCCTGCAGCAGCAAAGTGGCCCAGGGATGGAGAAGAAACTGGGCTGGTGCTCTCTGTTGGGGAAGAAGGGTCTGACCCTGCCCACAAAACAGCAGTGGGAATGTGGGTGTTGATTTTTGACAGCTTCCACATGGGGAAAGGGCTGGGATAGAAATTACATGGGCTGGGTGGTGGCAGATGTTGAGGCCTTGGCACCAGCCCCTGTGACCTGCCAGAGTCTCCCAGTGCCATCCTGACATCAGGAAGAGGGCCAAGATCCCTGCTGAGCCTGTCTGCAGCTCATAGCTACAGGCTGTGATAATGATATCTTTAAGACATGCTGGGGCTGCACACAGCATTATTACATGGAGGTGCCCTAAAACACCCCAAAAGCACCTCAGCTTTCCAGTGCCACAGTGGGGCTGGGATGTTCTCCACTACACTTTGTGGGCATTACAGGCTTCCTAAGAAAATATTTCCAAGTACGTTGAAGTGGTGTGTGATACAGCAAGCCACTACCAGCATATTGCATTTAGGGCACCACACGAGGCCAGCACAGTGGATGCTGGATAGGTAAAGAGAAAATGTTGAGCCCACTGAGTGCCAAATGCCTCCTGAACGACCTGGAGCTGCTTGGGTTTGGTTTTCGAGTCCTTTTGGTTTTGGAAGTTGCACTTGTGAGACTCTCTTCTTCCCTCTAGCGTCCCTTCCGAGTCATTTCTCCTGCTCTCCAAACCCAGCAAAAGCGGCGCCTGCCTGCCTGCATTTGCACTCGCTCCGTTCCTCAGGCACAGGTTTTCTATCTATAAACGACACTTCAACTCCCCACCCAGTAATCCAACGTTTCCTTTTTCTGCTTTACGCTGTGCCATGCAGGAGAATTCTGTCGCAAGGCCGTTGTGTCCTGGCAGCTTAAAAATTATCTCAATTACTACCTTAATTTTAGCACAATCACTGTGAACTCCACCTGGGGATGCACAGCCACGAGGCTAATGAAGGCAGTGTGGAGAGGAGCCCCTTGTAGAGGGATGGGTGAGAGTGAGCCCCTGAAATTGTTGCCTGTGTAAGACCATGCCACACCTCCTCTCATATCACATAATTTCTCCTTGGGCTGTAGGAAACCAGGGCAGAGATTAGAAATTTCTGCAGTGCCCCTAAGGCTGGATCAAGGCTGTCACTGAAAGGTTATTTTATTTCTGGTGACAGCAAGAGACCTCCAGGGTAGGATCTCCATCACCTAGGTCACTTCCCAGCTGGCTGAACTGGTTTCCAAAAGTGCAGCCATAATCCTTCTCTGTGAGGAGAGACCTCCCCCTCTCCTGGGGACAGGGCAGCAGACCAGCCCTCCCAGATGCACCTGCACCAGGCCAGCTCTTCACCAGCTCAGGGTCTGCTCTGGCACCTTGAATTGAGTCTGGGACAAGCCCTCCTTGGTGTCCTGCAGCTCTCCTGCCCCACCTGTGCCTCTCTGGAAGGTACAAAAGCTTCCCAGACTGGCTCAAAGAGCCAAGCACACATTGCTGCCCCAGTGCTCACATGCTGTCTCCACTCTCCAAGGCTGACCCTTTGTCTCAGCCAGGACATTTCCAGTATCTCTTGGGGTAATTTTAGAGGAACAAAACAATAAAAACAGGGCCAGGATTCTCTGGTGTAATGACAAAGCCATTGCAGGGCAGGATTCATCTCACCTGGCAACAGATGGTACCCAGCAGACACCTAAGCCATCATCACAAACCCTGTGTGATCAGTGCAGAGACTGACACTATGGAGCAGGAGCCATCTGACTCATCATACCCCAGAAGCACCTGTGTTCCACTCTGGGTGCAGATACTGCCCCTGGCAAGGAGACAAGCTTGTCAGGCTGAACAAGGCAAGGAACCGTGTAGGAAATGATCCTGAGTAATGATCCTGAGCTGGCCTGCCATTTGTGTGTATTTGAAGGGACACGTATGGCATTTTCCTTCCTGAATATCTCCTGTGTTTTCTCCTCCTTGACAGCCAAAGAAAATGTCTTCTATTCATCCTTTAATGAAGATTAATTTGTTCCAAGTGCAAAGCAATCCCAGGCCTTCAATGACAGTAATGGCTTTGGCAACAAGCACAACAGCCATGAGCCGTGGGGCTGTGCCCACAGCTGCCATGGGGACACTGGACAGGGTGAGCATCTCTTTTGGCCTGTTCCTAAATGGAGTGCCAAGGTGTCCACAATGGGCTGGGCTCTGCAGAGCTGGGAGGTGCAGAACCCAATCCACACCACCTTTGCTTGTCAGGGCCCACTTGTCTGGGTGGGATGCTATCCCAGACATGCTCCTTTCAGGGGAAGGGATGTTCTTGGTCACTGAAACAACTGGCTGGCACACAGCTCCCTACTTCTTTCTCCCATGTTTTTTTTTAAGTTCTGGCTGATCCTTTCAGTACGCAGGGCAGCAGCAGTCACTTCAGCAGGGCTGTTCATGGGACACCAGCTAAATGATGCTGAGAGGCCTCCTGGATGGATCATGCTTCTGCTAATGCTGCAGCATTGTCTCTTTGGGCCAAATCCCTTTGTTCCGAGCCCAGCTCCCTGCAGGGCAGCTGTTCTCATGTTACCATCCCCTCCCTTAGCAGTGTGTACTGGTGAGACTTGGCTCCCAGCAGAAAACTCTTCCCTGCAGTGCTGATTTATTAATAGGTGAGGGAGCAGTTCTCACCCCTCTCTCCAGCTTACACACTAGATATCAATTTGGCAGCCAGCAGCAAACCCCATTAAGGCAGTGAGATACTTAAAGGCATCAGCAGCTCCTGGCCCATTACAAGAATGAGGGGATGGACTCTGGTAATGTACATCTGAAACTGGTCACATCCAGCTGGAAGCAAGGATCCTACTGAGACAAATATTAAGAGTCTGCAGAGGCAGGAATGGGAATAAGCTCATTCATTAAAGGACTTTGTCTGTATTCAAGGGACCAATGTGTAATTTTAACAGAGGAAATGGTGACAAAAAGCCCATGCAATGAAACTTCCCTTTTTCCCTTTTGGACCAAGAGAACTGAATTCACAAATAGCCCATCATGCCTTACATTTCCTAATTAGCCTATTAAAGACCTGGCTGGCTTTTCCATTTTCTAGATGAAAAAGGTGGAAGATGAACAAGCAGAGGCTAAGCCAGGACAATAATTTTCTCTGTGGATCTGTTATAGCTGTCCAGACAGCAATGGCCCTGCTTATTTGCCTTGTCCTGGAAACTGCAACAGACAACAGCGTGACAGCCCTGGGAAATGAGGTGCACAACTATTGGCAGAGAGAAGAGAGGAGGCTACCAGCCCTTCTGCCCCATCAGCCTGGGCTGTGATCACTAACCTGCTCTCTTAGCAAGCCTCTCTGCTGTTCCATGCACGACAGGCTGGCCACTTCGCTCTGCTCTAAATCCCCACAGACACCAGAGCGAGTGGCACCCAGGCTGTTGTACACGTGTCCCTGTCCATAGGCACCTGAGGGGGTGATGAATGGGCCACCAGCTGATGCAGTGACCAACAGGCACACTGGACACCTCCTCCTGTCCCTGTGAGCACACCACACCACCATGCAGCATGTGAGTGCCTTGGTTAGGCCACCAGTGGGGCAGAGCTGTCTAATGAGGGGTGGGGTGGTTGCTCTGAAGGTCACACACAGCCTGCAGCCCTGAGAGTCACCACTGGGATGTCTGATGGGAAGGTACAACAGGAAACCCTGAGTTAAATGGTTTTGATGAAGCCCTCAGGCACTAATTTCCCACACACAGGGGAGAGCTGTTTTTTTCTGAGCATTTCTCCACATCCTCCCTGCCAGCTCAGAGAAGCTTCTTGCTCTGTGCACATACAGAGCCACGTGGAGTTTGCTGAGGGATGAGATCACGATGCTTTTGAGAGACTTTCCAGATCTGTACCAAGAGTTTTGTCTCTGCAGATGCTCATGTCCAGACCCAGTTTACATACCCATTGAATTTTTTTCCCCTCCACCCCTTTGAAATGAAAGATGTCGATTGAGAAGGAGACTCTGAATATCTGGAGAAGACAGTTCTACCCATCACCCCCTGGTCATAGAGAAGGGTCAGTGCTGTCAGTGTCTTCTTTCTTTTACAAGGCCACCTTTTTTTTGTGTGTGTGATGGTATTGTCAGTGACACTGGCAAAAAGTCAGATTTAGGAGCCTATTTAAGGGCACAGGCATTGTTGCTGGGTGAAATCCTGCCTGCATCCATAATATTGCACAAAATCACTTGCCACATAGTTTTAAATTATTTTTGATAGATGATTTCTGTTAGGACATACCAAAACTGGGCAAACTAGGTTCAAGCTCCAGACTGTTTTGTAAGATAAAGTGGTGCAAGGAGCACCATGATGAGAAGGAAGTTTCAGGGCCTTGTCTATTCTGCTTCTCTAAGTTATGATGGCCAGCAGAAAGGAGGCATAAACCAATTCATTAACTCATTGTGTAATTACTGTTTTATAAACTGATTTAAAAAATGTAATCTAACAGAGTAATTTAAACTGGAAAAATGTGATGATGCATGGTTTCAGACTGCAACATCAATAAAGTTGAAAGACACAGTCATTTGGAATAGCATCTCACAGACTGCAGTCACTAAAACAGATGTTTTGGCTCTTACCTGAACATGGAGCAAATGCCCTATTGAAATAAAAAATTAGATTATTCCCTTACTTCCCTGCTTTGCTGCATCATCACTTAAAATTATCCAATTATAACAAATTGGAAAGTCTATTTGATCTGAGAAAGCTAGAAATGGGATGGAGGTGAAAGGCACATGCAGAGGATGCTCTGACACCTGGTGACAGAAGTCAGCTCTGCTGGAGAAGTTCTGGAATGCAATGTCTATTCAGAGGAAGTGAGACAAATCCTTCCAGGTAGCTATGGAGCAAACAAACATGTTAATATTGGGATAAGCCACTTGTTCAGCATTTGCTCCCATAGCAATGCATCCTACAAGAACCTCCAATGCCTGTGAATAGGGTGAGCTCCTGTGGGGGCATAAACTCTCAAATCATCCAGCCTTTCTGGGCTTTTCCTCAGGCAACACACCCTTCCTTCAGAGCCTGCTCTGGTCAACACTTCCTCTCAAGCCCTTGGTTTTGGCCCTCACATGTTTAACATCCAGGACTGCAAAAGGCACACTGCTGGCTGCTGGTAGGTCACCTCCTCCAGCCCTCTCCACAGGCAGCAGGCTCCATGCTCTGCTCTGTTTGGTGTCCCTGCCTGACTCACAGAGCTGGGCATCGTGTGGATGAGAGGAAGTGTGATAGGATTTGTTCTGTTTTAGTGTGTATAGGTTGCAAAAATAACCATATTTTTCTGTAATAAGACATTCATTAGCTCATTGGTTGATCAGTGGTTGCTCTTAAAATATTTGTGGACCAGCTGTATCCTGAATTGAGGCAAATCACATGAATTGTTTGAACTGCTCTGTGTTTAGCTTGCAGAAGAAGCTGCAAGATAGCATTGATCCTTCACAGCTGCACCGTGTACATGGCTCCAACACATGCTGGCAACTGGGTACCTTCTAGGACTGAGGACTTCTGTTCTGAGATGTGTTTGTGGCACTGGATTTGTGTGGCAATGACTGCAGAATGGACCTGGCAGTCAGGGGCCAAACAGAATTCATTGGCCTGAACCTCTGCAAGGCTTTTGTGGATGAGCAGGCAGCTGGATGCTGGTGGTTGATCTCTTTAGAAGGGCTCTCATCCATGATGGGCCTGAGGAAAAGAGGAAAACTCTGTGGTGAGACTGCACTCTGGATTTGAATATCTTCATTCTCCTCAGCAGCTCTGAAAACTGAACCAAAAGCTGGGCCTGGGAGCAGCCCCAGGCACATGAACTTCCCACACAAGGCACATGCTCTCTGCCTTTGCTGACTCCAAAGTGACTCCCTCAGCTCAAACCCAAGCTGTCATGTCACAAGTCCTCTGTTGTATTTCTTCAAAGAAGCAACAACAGGATGCTAAATTTACAGCAAACAGGTTCAGAAATAAACATGTTTTGGTACATGTGACACTTCTTTAATGCCTACTTTATTTTCCAGAGCTCATTCTAACATGAATTTATGTCAGGGAAAAAACCCAAGTGGGATGTCAGGAACTCTTCCTGGAGTGTACTGGAGGAGAGTTTTGAACAAGTGCCACAAGATCTTTGCAACAGACACAGCATTGGCTCTGGGTGGGGAACATGAGAATCGAGCAGTAAGAGCACAGCAAAATTCTGGGCTATTATTCAAGAAAATGCAAAATTTACAATACTCAACCTACAAGGAACATGGGAAAATGTTTCTTTAGCTTTAGACAATCAAAGGTAAATGTCAGCACAAATAAAAGGAATTAATTTTACAGAAGAAGCAGGAGACCTCAGAGACAATAGAGAAATCTGCCTTTTTCTGCCATGGAGTCCCTTCCCCAGATGCATTCCAGTGCGCATACCTGATCCTTGGTGACCCAACAGCTGCTGGTCCTGGAATGGGCCTTGGCTGGCTGGTGCAGCCCACATGCTGGCAGTGTCCTTGGGGTGCAGAGGCAGCCATCATGCTGTGCAGGCCCAGGAGAGTGGGTTCTTTGTCCAGAGGCTGGGCTGAATACTCTTGATGAGCCTTTGACCAGCATTTCTGTGTACACTGCCTGTCCTCCTCTTGGCTGGGTATCTTTATGCCCCTATGAATCCTTGTTTTCCAGGGTCTTGCTGCAACATCCACTGCAGAGGCAGGGGAAGGGTTTTTTGGAGGGGATGGAATTAGATAACATTTTGTGTTGGAGAACCCTGCATCCTCCTGAGCCTGTGATGAACCTGAAACAGAGTGGAAAGCACAGTGGTTACCAGTTCATCTGACTGCTACATCACTAACCCAGTGAGTGAAAGATTTTGGAGATGTTATGTGATGGAGCTGGGTGGGCAGATGTGTCCATGTTGAATTTCTTCCTCTGGCAGTTGGTTTGGTTCACTGTCAGCCTCTCTGCCAGCACTGCTACTGACGTGCCAAGGGAGGAACAGCTCACAGGCAGAGCTCACAGGGCACCCACAAGCTCACCTGCCCTCCTGTTCTCAGGCAGGATCACACCTGCATCATTCCCTGCCAGTGTCTGCACTGACTTGTTCTAAATACCTTAGGGCTCCTTCCAGTGATCTGAAGTGCAAGGCAGAGGAATAATCACAGATGAGTGGATCCACTTTTTAAATCAGAGGTAGAGATCATGGAATCTCGTAATAAGTGCCTGACTGCTGGGGAAAATATTGCACTGCATGCAGGGCTACTTTCTGGCTCTTTGTGTTTCAGCCATGTCATTCTCTCCATGCAACACACAGAGAAGAAAAAACTTGTTGCTGACTTATAAATATAACCAGCATGCACACATGCTTAGAACCATTCTAAATATAGCAGGGATCTGATTGCTCTTGTCTATTGAAAGAACCAACCATTCTATAAATAGCAGGGATCCAATTGCTCGTGTCTATTAAAAGAACCTAACTGTACCTAAGTGCCTGATGTGCAGGGTCCAGGCCAGGAACATAATCTAAAGAATGTGCCACCAAAACTCAGGCCCAGAAAGTTCATCTCTGTGGCTCCCAGTTGATGGGGATGTATTTTACTGCCTAAGTAGAGCTGATAAAAAGTTTTCATGGAAAAGTTTGTATCATATGATATACTTTTAAAATGTCTAAACTTCATATTTGTTTTCAAGTAGAGCCACTCTGAGAGACTGGTATGTCTGACTCAAGAGCCTGAAATAACATTCAACGCCTTCCAAAAAATGCAGTTTATATGGATCTGATGCTGCAAACATTTTTATGTAAGAGTGGCTTTGCTCAGATGACTTGTCCTTTTCTGGTCAGAAGGACTGCTTCTAGCAACAAGTTCTTCTGTGAGAAACTCACACTGCACTGGACACACTTCTGAGTGTCATTAGGATCCTGGTCAGTCCCCCCACCACCTCAGACAATTCTAGATTTCAAACTACTCCATCATCATCCCACATATTTAGTCAGAAGATGGACAGACCCATGCCCAACCATTCACTTTCACAGTGCTATAGGGCATGACACTGGTACACTGCGGGATGTTTGTGACATTGTCCTGTCAATCTAGAAGGATGATGAGACCATCATACTCAGTGTAAAGAAATCATATAAAATCTGAAAAAGGTCAGATTAAATCTAAAGAGATCATGAGATCATAATCTAAGATTTTTGTGGGTACTGGACAATAGGCCATTCCTTTAGATTTTTCCAAACAGCTTTTATTCTTGTTAGGGAGATACTGCTTATAGTACTGTTAATACACATAAAGGCTTTGAATAATTTAATGATATTTCCATTTTTTTTTCAAAATATATTATATTTTTCTAAATTTTTTAGTAGATCTATTTTTACCCTTGAAAGAAATGTAAAATGAAAACTCACATGACTTCACTTATTGAGAAAAAAGGAGTTGTTTAGATTAATAACAGAAAAAAGATTGAAGTTGTAATTATATATGGTCCTCTCTTTGATATGTGTTTGGAATAACCATTATTAATGTTTTTAATCTTTTTAAAGCCAATATTCAACAAGTAGTGAGGAGTGGGAATTCTGCTTTTATTCACGTAAATGCAATTTCAGAGAAGCCTTTGGCTTTATTCCTGAGTAGAAGAGCATGTTCCATTTTTGAGCCTTTTACTGGATGCTTCCTTTTGGTTGCATATCTTTCCAGAATTCCCAGTTGTTCAGTTAAACTTTAATCACTAGCTCAGCCATTATTTACATCAGTGCCAACTGGGTTCAAATACAGCTCAGTAGGAATGACAATATTTTAGACTCACCTGGCACTGTCATAAATTAATGACACAAGGTAAAACACAGAGATCTGTCCTTCTACTGCACTTGATGCTAAGCTAGTGTGAGATCACCTTTGCTCCTCTTAATTCTACATATTCATGCTGAAATATATCAACTGATGGTCAACACAGCTGGCCACAATGTCCTGCTTGAAAACTGGAATGGATTGCTTAGGGTCTGGCCCTGCAGTGGCATTTTCCAGTTGCTGCCCTGAAGCACAGATGCCAGATCCCATAAAACACTGGATTACCCATGTACCTATCTACAAACAGCACATGTTTAGCCCAAGGCCAACCCTCCCCCAGGGGTTTAAGTCCAGTACCTGAGGAGGAGCGGGAAGAAGAGTCAAATGAAATCCTTTCAATGAGGTCCTCATCACAGGCCTCCCTCAACTCATTTCCTAAGCTGTCAGTCAGGCTCCAGTCTTCACCTTCATTCACCTTCAGTGCTTGGCTGGCTTGTTCTTGCTGACCTGTTTGCAGGCACCTGGACAACATCAAGTATCACACATTTAATTAGCTTTTGAGTGTGTTTATGCAGCTGGTCAAATGCAGCCACTCAGGCAAACACCCTGCAGTGGATTTAGTTACCCACTGTTACTTCACACCTTCCAGGAGATATGAAAACTCATTTTAATGGGATCAGCCATCTAAGATGCCTGTGTCTGATTATCTCAAGCATCTTAAAGTTAATCAGATGAAGTGGGGCAGATTTAAAATACTACCCAGTGAAGTAAGCTCAGAGAAATAAAACTATTTTTACTTCCAAAATAACCATTACCTATCTGTGAGATCTATGAGATCTCAGCAAGGTGGTATTTTCTTTCAGCCTTTTGTTTGCTTAGGCCAATGTGGTGCTTGCAGAAAAGCTGATCCCCTTTCAGCTCTTTTACCAGACACTGTCAGGGCCAAGAACAGCTCACCAGTTATGAGAAGTCATTTCTCTGCTCTTGCTAAGGAAGTGAGCCCATCCTGCCTGTGCTCCAGAGAGAAGGAAGAGGATTCTTCTCCCTTGCCATCCCGCAGATGCTCCAGGCAGGAGGACTGCTGCCCAAAGCAGGGACAGGAAGGCAGGGGCCGAGATTATCCCTCCAAACCACCAGCAGGTGGCCAAAGTGCTGATCTTATTTTTGCAGCAGAAAATGAATGCAGAGTTTATGGCATGGCAAGATCTCCCCGGTGGTCTCACCCCTTGTGCTGCTCCATCCATGCTCCCAGGTCAGAGGACACCTTTTCCAGGTGCAGATCTCTTCCTCCTCCAGAGCCACAAAGGTTTTCTGTCGTCAGACCAGATGGTTTCAAAGGCCTCACAGCAGGTGGCTGTGGAAATGGCACAAGTTATCTAGATATCCATGGGAACACTTCCCAGCTCCCTTTCTAGATGTGGATTTCAGCATACATCAAAGCCCACTGTTGTTTCTGAGTTTTTAGATTATCCCTCATCATTTTCTAACTCCTCAGTTTTAAGAAGTCTCACTTCCCAGTTATGTACTATTACAGCCTGAGGAACCCAGGGTAGCAGTGACAAAATTGTTGACTTATATTTCACTGGATATAAGTCTATAGCACCTATACCTATAAGCACATTAAGACCAGTACCACAGAAACTGCATCACTCAGTATATGACCAGAGCTCAATTCCACATCCCAGCTCTTAGCACACAATAATTCCCTAAAATGTTCAAATTTGTTTCAGAAAAGCTTCCTATGCTGAGGCTGTGGTAGCAGAAAGACATGGGCAGTACCTATCTTTTCCCTGCAGTTCTTTAACATCTGTTGTGAGCATTAAGTCTGTGTCCTGTGCATCTCCCTGATTTACCCCAGCCTGTTTAAATCTACTCGTGTAGCTGTGGTGTTTTGAACCTCAGGGCCAACAAAAGCTGACCATGACAAGCCAGGCTGCTCCCCTTTACACACATGGGTATCCTCTCACCGAATTACAGTCAAAATGAGCAGGCTGACCCACAGGGCAGGGGCACCACCCCACTGCCAAGAGGAACAAACTTTGGCTTTGTGTTTGTTTAGTCAATAGGAATGACCTTGCAGCATTAGCAAGCTGTCTGTTTACACCAACGTCAAAGAAACACCGCTGAAAAAAGTCTTTCTCTTAATAACTGTTGTAGAAATACTATCAAGTTTTGCAAGCCTGCCTTGTACTTTGCTCATTGCAGGAGGATGGGAAATCTGCCCCCAGCAGCTGACACGTGATTTTCACTGCTCCCTTGCAGCTGATGGTCCACTGCTGCTAACACATGGGCACATGCAACATCATGGCAGGGGACCCTCTGTCCTCCTCAAGGCAACTGCATCTTGGGGGTTCTTGGCTACAGAACAGAGTGAGCTGCTACAAGCCACAGTGGGAGTTCAGTTTATCCCAGGAGTTGTGGGGGTCACCATGCAGGAATATGAAGTTTACAAGAAAAGCATACACCTAGCTTTTGCCTCCTCACATGGAGGGCCTTGGCAGGGTTCCCACATATAACCTGGCGGAGTCCTAAGAAAAACAGGAAAAAAGAAAACATTTTACTCCAGCATTTAACAAACAGTGCTGTCATTGAAGTCAGTTAATATAACTTCCCATAGACAGGAAGTTATAATACTCATGGTGTAGGTTCACACTACCAGCTGGCATGGCCTGACACTGCTGCTAAGAGGCAGTTTCTCTGCTTCCACCAGAATCTGTCTTCTTTTGACCCTGCCCTGCCTCCTTAGCTGTGCTGGTGCAAATATTTGTGTGGGTACATGGTCAGTCAGATCAGGGAACAAATTCAGATTTTAAAAAAAAAATTATTTTGGGAAGTCTTTTTTGTTTGTTGTGCTGGATTATCGTTCAGCTGGATTTTGATTAAAATCAGGTTAAAAAGAGATAAAGCAACAAAGGGTCAGAAGAAGCAGTGAACATTGGGTGAAACTGTCTCTATCAGTAGTGTTAGCTGCCTAAAAGTGTGTGTAAAATTACAGTCTCATTCCCTGACAAGCTGTACTTAGTTTCCATGTACATTTCCAAATGTCCACTCAGCTGTTGACTCTGCATTGCTTCATCCTGAGTCCTACCCATAGGTAGGGAACTGAGGAGAGACAGGCATCTGAGCAAAGCAGCCCACCATGCCTGGAAACAAATGCCATGTAATCAGCAGTCCGTGGGCTGCTGGAGTTACACCATCAGGATGTTTCCAGGAGTCAGGGAAGGATGGTGGTATTTCCAAGTGACTAGGGCAAGAAGGGCAGTGGCAGACCTGTGTTTTGGGCTAGATCAGAATGTGAAGTCAAGGAACTGACTCCTCTTGCTGAGGGACCAACCTCTGGAAACCCAGACCCAAGTGCTCATTGCCAGCAAGGATGCTGTTGCAGTATGAGACTGCAGCACACACAGTCTGAGCCCACGATGCAGGGGGGAGGGAATGTGTATCACCACACCTCTCTGGAGGACTGCCTTGGACCACGCTCCTGTGGCTGACCAGGACGTGGCCTGGTGTTACTCGAGCAGGACAGCTGCAAAGAGGTCTGGAAGGGGAGCAGCACTGCAGTATGGGGCTGTGAAAAGGGACAGCAGCACATGGGGGCAGGGGGCTGAGGCTGAGGATGGGCAGTGCAGGTGACTTGCACCTTGTGCTGCAAGGGGAAATAAAGGAAAGCCTACGCTAGAGCAGGTGAGTCTCGTGGAAGACAACATATGCTAAACCTGATTAGCAGTGGCATGGGTGGGTGGTATTCAAAGCACCCTGGCTTTCATCAGTAATAACATTCAGAAGGAGGTGGAGGTGTGGGAAAGAACAGGATTAAAAAAACATACATTACCATGTGTCAAATCACTGGAGTCATCTTTTGTGAACAGCTTATCAGGAAAAACAGTGGGATCTGGAAGAGGACAGCCACCGCCCAAGAGGCTGGCATCACGAGAAGTCCCTGCATTAGCAGAACTCTGTGCATTTCCAGGTCTGGAAGTTGTTGGGGGTTTTGGGCTGCATTCAGACTGCTTTGCTACTTCCCCAAGATATGGATCTAGAAGAGAGATTTCATTAGTGTAAGCACAGTTATGCAAGGCTTCAAACCACACCATCACCGTACCTTGCCAATATGGCAATTGCTGCTGCACACCTGGAGCTATAGAGGACAGAGAATATGTAACAGCAGCTACAAGAAACATGCTGGAATGGGTCCAGCCTAGGGAAGGAGGTCTTCCAGCGCTGCCCAGTCATGGCAGAATCCGGGGATCCCTAACTAAACTGATATCCCTTCCCACTCTTCTTCTGCTTCAGGGCACCAGAGACAGACTGCTGGGGTTATGGGTCAGGAACTGCTCTGTGCTCACCACCCACCTCTGGCTGTCCCACAGGGGAGCCTGGACACATCCAGGGCTCTGCACTTTCCCTGCCTGCATGCCCAGGCTAACTGTAAGCTGCCTCTCATTTGCTGCCCACCTGCCCACAGGGCAACCATTCCAGACTTGCTGCAGGCACAGCCTAGGCCCCAGTCCTTAAATACATTGCTTAAATGCCCTGGCACAATGCAGATGGCGATGGACACCTTACCAGAGCCACCAGTCAAACAGGAGAAACTGTACCAGGAGTTACAAAAATCTGAGAATGGCAGTGATAGATTTTTCCAGTACTGCCTCAGAGACAGATAGTTCTCTTCCACAGAAAGAAAGGTGAAAATTGTTTTTGTAATGCTACAGGACAGGAAGGATTATACAAAAACTAGCAAAGGCAGACAGAGCCTTGTCCTCTTACCTGCCCAACTGCTGCCTGTCCTGGGAGCACAGCACAGCTCTAAGAGCAGCATATGCAGCCAACAACCAATGGGACAGAGAATGTCATTCCAGTGCCCAGATGAATAACGTGCTTTTTAAAGTGCTGAACATCTACCAGCTCCAAAGTGAGGCATCAGCTCTGTGATGATATGGCCATTTCCTTAAGAGTTGAGTGTTAGGGACCTTTAATACATCTTGGGCACAGCTGTTAATATGAACCCCTGAAATACACTCCATGTGAAAGTACCCAAATCAACATTGCTACTGGAAAGAAAAATGTACTGGGATGTCTGAACCTGACTGTATGAACTTACTGGTTTAGAGCTGCCAGTAAGAATATAAGCCTGGTTACACCAGGGAATAAGATGAATTCACAATTTTGTACTCTGCCCTACTGCTTCTGTCAGCAAACTTTGTTAACTAGTTTTCTGAACCTCAGGTGATGTTGCCAAAGCACGATCACTGAAGGATCAGATTTTAATGGATTTTTTCCCTACCATGACTACTATTACAACTAATGATTTGGACCCATAGGGATTCAATAAATGACAAATGTATGTACTTATTCCAAAACAAACTAAATTTTTAATGGAGCGCAGTTGGCAGGCAAACCACAACCTGGGGAGGGGGCTGGGAAGCCAACTGCATTGCCCACACTAATGGGAAGCAACATGAGCAGTTATAGGAAATACTTTGCAATATTTAATAGTATGTGATAAAGTGCATGTAGCATGACACGTAAAAGCATGGACATCTGAACTATTACCAAGGCTGCAGGCAGGGGGACAACAGATTTACTTTCAAACCATTTATTCTCTACTAATGAATGTAATGAACTTAATCTAATAACAAAGAAAGTGGAACAGATTCTTTCTTTCAAGACCATGCAATCTTTCTCAGATGTTGCTACCACTGAAGGGTGGTAACCAGATTGCCTTTCCTATTATTAAACTGGAATAGGAAATCCTACCACATCCATGCTACATGGGATTGACTGTTACCATGGAAAGAGCCATGAACAGCTGTTGTTGAAACATTCCTTTCCAAGCTTTGCTTCTTCCCATCATGCAGAACAAGTCCTAAGTACAGACTCCCAGCTACTGCTATATTTGCTTGATGCTCTAGAAGTTGTCTGCATTTTTGATCTTGATGCCCAGTTTAGGACAACTTCCATTTAAATCTGTGCTGTTTTCAGCTGAATTCCAGCTTTCTTACTTTCCAGGTGAAGAAAACAACATCCTTTGTTCCTTCACTATAAGTAAAGATAGGCTTTAAAGAGGTTGCCTTGCTCTTTGTCTTTCTTTTTTTCGACATCATAACTTGAAAAATGAACCCCAACAAGAAACCTGTCATACCTAACAATGAAATGTCTTTGGCTAAACCACCTTCCTTGATGGATTCCTTGATGATTAGAGAATCTTCATGCACCTTCTTGGAAGGAAGGAGAGTAGTCTGGCTTGCTGGTATCCCATCCAAATACTTCAAGTGGGGAATGAGTTTTTTTACTTCTGCTCTGTAATTATAGTCTGGGTCCTGGAGAAATTGAGAAAGTGGTCAGTTTATTTAACAGTCTGTGTTAATACTGTCAATTTCTATGACTGCCATACAATTTGAAATGCTCCTCGCATAATTTCTACTTGAATTGATCATGAAAATGTCCAGAGGACTGCAAAGACACAGCCTTCACCTAAAGGCTCCTCTGTTGTTTACCCACTGACAATTTGCCATTTGTCTTTGTTATATCATGTGTAATGTGCAAAAGCAAAAACACCACTGATGCCCATGGAAAGCCTGGGCTCCCTCAGTATTCAGCCAATCTGTCTCCCTGCTTTTGTGATTCTCTGGTGTTTGCCTCAATACTCAGGTGATAGAAAGGCTTGAAATATGAGTGTTGCTACACCTGCTGATGGAGAAAGAAAGAGCACTTCCAAAGATTGTGGTTTTAGGCACACAGTAAAAAAAGTATAAGGCAAGAGTGCATTGATAGTGGCAGAATACAAATGGAACCCTACCCACCAATCAATTGCTTCACCCAGGCAGATCTTATGCTTTTCAGGATAATGCAAGAAATATTAGAAACCTCCTCAAAGCCAAGTCCTCATTCAATACAGAGTGGTCATAAACAGAAACCTTTCTGTGGGGTTTGGTTGCTTGGATGCCCCCTCTCTCTGCATGATGCAGCACTGATGTTGGCAGAGGGAACTCACCAAACAAAATGTGCTAGTTTTTGTTAAGAGGCAGACACTAATTTTCGCAAACTAAGTCTTTAATCTTAATTTAGAAACTGAGTCAACCATTCTCAGCTACAGCCAATTCCCAGCCATGTCCTGTTGGAGAGAAGAATCATGCTCATGCTACATTTCAGCTACAGAGGCTGCAGAACTTATCATCAAGTTGTTGCTCTTGGTTTAGATAACAGGGGAAGATGAGCTCATCTGAAAATCAAATTACAGGGAGCAAACAGGCCATCTGAAGAAAGAGCAGTAAATTTAGCTGGACCATTCTGTAGATTAAAAGTAAATAAATAGGAGAGCTTTTACAGACCTTTAGCAAGGGCCAGACTACAAGAAGGAGCTTGAGGAATTAGAGTTGGCCATCAAGGGCACACCAAAGTAAGCCCACATATACTCTTTTCTAAATGGCTTTCCTATACACTAAAAGAATGCAAACATCCACTGAAATCAAGAAAGCAACAAAGTCCATGGAGAAGCTCTCAGCAATGAAGGGCAGGCCCCACTTTGTAACCACCTGAGAGCAAAGCATCTTCCCAACACAGAGACTGGGCGGGAGACTGCAGCGAACTCACAGCCTGCCTCTGCTACAGCTCAGTGTAAAATACACCTTTGTGCTGATTCCCTGGACAAATTCACATCTGCGACCACCAATGACCACTTGAAGCCGCCCCAGATATTCCTCTGTGGATACCTGGAACTTGGACTGTAGATAAGACAAAGGTGGTGCTATTGTCTGAGTGTTATCTCACACTTAGGGGAAGGCTAACAAAGCTGGGAAGAATGTATCACTGATAACGGAAACAAAAAAATGCAGAATTTACAGGCCACAAGGAAAGGCAAACCAGCAACTCTGCTAAAATCAGTTCCCACTAGGTATAAGGTAATTTTGACAGAGGAACCTTGTGATCATTGGCTCAAAAGAAAAGAAAGACAAAGCATGTGGACTAATTAGCATTAGACACAAGAGATAATAATTTACCCAATAGCATAAGAGATCCGTGCAGCCAATTAATGCTTAATTCCTTTGTTTGCTAAAATGGGTAAAGAATGAAAAGTTTTGAATTATGTTGGGACCCTACCACCAAGAAGTCCAAGCTGAAGAATGATCAACAGGGATGCCACTGGATCCATGGGTGGTGACAATATTCTTCTCTCTCCTCTCTTTTCCATTTCTTTTTATTTTTCTACCTCACATTTACTGTTAAATAAAATCTGTATCATTGACTTTGGCATAAGGTTTGCACTGTAACTCGGGTAGAAGCATCTCTCACTGATCAGATCTTAGCACCTTCTTGCACAGGAGTAGAGACAGCCAGTCTGCACGGAGAAGAGCAGGAGGGCACACCACCACATACCACTGCTCTTTGTACTGCCATGATGGGACAACATGCAAAGCATCCCAAGGACTCATTTCACCTGAACAGCCCAAGGGAAATCTGACATTTCTCCATTACAAGTACACTTAAAGACTGAAGATGTCAAATCCCCCAAAAATCCCACTTTCATTGAGCAGGAACAACAAGGGAGTAGCATCAGATCTTCTGTGCTGTTAGGATACACTGCACCATTTCCATGGTAGGAAGCTATGATATGAAGTGTCAGTAGATGTATTTATCTCCTTGGGAGCAGAAAGAGTAAGGAGGCATGCCTTGTCCATCACAAGCAGGCAGTGCTTCCTTACTGCAGGAATATGTTTTTCCTGTCATCATTGTATCTTCCACAAGGGAGAAATGTTCCAAAATGGAGAAATCACTTTGGTTACAAGCAGTTACAATGTGGTCCCTTAAGGATAATTCCACCACTTTAAACTAGAAAGGCAAGTATATAATATTTTCTTTTGAATCCCAGAGAGGAAAACTATGACAGCTAAAGAGCTACCTTCCATGGCCCCTTTTACTGAACAATAAGATCAAGCCAACAATTGCATCTGAAAAATGCTATTAACTCATATATTTAAGAAGTGCCAAGATTTAAAATATATGCCTGTTGCATGATTGAGTTTTAGTGTTTTCAAGTCTAAGTCCAGGAAAAATATCAAACCCAACCTTTTAGGCAAATTAACAGCATCAACATAACTTCTTTAAAATACACAGAAAAGCTATAGAATATGTTACAGTGGGATAACAGCATCAGCTCTGATTTTGGATCTGCATTACAAGCTGTTTATGGTGCCATTGGGAATTGCACCATCCTTAGTGAGACCTGTGTTTTACATAACTCTGTGTGTGTTCACAGACCTTCCAAAAGACCTGGATGGCAAATATGTTGGTGTTTTAATATCCCAACAACGCTTTTTTATGAAGTAGGAGAAAGTCAAAGAGAGTAATACAGCTCTGAGGCTGTTCATGTAGAATTAGATCTCCCTTGCTTTGTTTGTTGAGTGCCCTGAAACCCGAATCAGATAACGTATTATTGTGTTCCCAGCTTTGTGACACAGAGGCTCTTTCATGCCTTCAACAAAATACCTCAGCAGAAACTATTCCATCATTTTAGTATGTAAGATGTGAATCACTTTTGCATCTTCAGCTTTTTCTGAAGGTCTTCTTGGTCATTTGATTTTAAGCTTTCAGGGGAAAGGGTAACAAGTAGTTCCAATATTATGGCTTTTGCTAGTTACCTCAAGCACTGTTCTTCTGAGGGCTCAACTTCTGAGCATGGTGGCATTGGAGGATTTGCTTTTGGACTGGAGAGCCTCCAAAAGAAATGCAAAACCCTCAAAAACTGGTGTCTCACCACGGAACCACTGAATGGTTGGGGTTGGAAACTACTTCTTAAGATCACCCAGTCCGGCCTCCCTGCTAAAGCAGGTTCACCTGGAGCAGGCTGCATAGGATCACAGCCAGATGGGTTTACAGTATCTCCAGGGGAGGAGACTCCACAGCCTCCCTGGGACACCTGTTCCAGTGCTCATACTCCAAGAAGTTTTCCCTCATATTGCTGGGAAATAGGTGTGAGTCTTTACTAGCAGTCTTGTGGTCATCCTGGAGATCATACTAATGATACCACAAAATCAACGGAAATTAAAGGTGGGAAATGCATCCTGTGGCATCATTGAGAATGATGCAATAGGAAGATACAGAAACGTTTCTCATTTCCAACTCACAGTTAAAAAGTATTGACAAAAAAATAACACAATATGTGCAAACCAAGTCCTCACCTCTGCAGATTCTGCATTTGGCTTCAGGCAAATAAGGTTGCCCTCCACTGTCAGGTGGCTTAGCTTGCAACAAAGTTGCAGGTACTGCACCTGGTTGATGTCCTCAATATTGTTCCCTTCCAGGTCCAAAACCTCCAGGTGATCCAGCCAGGTCAACTGGCTCAGGTCAGAGATATTGTTGTAAGCAATGTAGAGTTCCTCAGCAGAAGTAAACAGAATAAACATGTAAACCACAGGCTTGCACAAGTAACACTGAGGCTCTGCAAAATTTTTTTTAATACTTGAAATACTAAATGTTATAAGATGAAACTAGCAAGGTAGTGAACATTTTATAGTGTGGCTGTTGCAGCCTTTAATAATATGAGCTAATTTAGCCATATACTGCTTTAGGCATACTCAGGATCAGACCTGAGAGTTACACCTCATTTCAAAAGTTATATTGTAGCATCTTTTAAACTAACACACACAATTCAAGGCATCAAACCAAAGCCAGCCAGAAAAGCAAGAGTTGAGGAGAATGAAGACTAAAAGTAAAAAATATCAACTGAAGATAGATCTGAGATTGCCATTTGGTAGGACACATCTATACTTACTTTTAGAGAGCTGAAGGAAGAGATCCCATCTAAATCTGACAGCCCACACCGAGCCATCCACAGGACACGGAGACGGGACAATGATGTTCCAAGATCCCTTATAAAAAACAATTCTAGCTCTATTTCAATGAGTAAAAAAATCAAGACTTGCTTTCTTTTTCCTAATACTAAACCACTGCTACTTCCTTCACAGCTCACATTGTTTACAAAATATTCCATTAAAAATGTTCACCCTTGAAGGTGGGGAATAAAATGATACCCCTCTTTACTTATCCCACTGTCATCTTTGTTCTTGCATGACAACATGTCACCCTAGTCCTGTTTGATTAAGATTGTTCCAAAAGCTACATCATGGTAATTCTGCCATAAGTCACAGGTAATTGTCAAGAATCAAGTGGGGTTTTCCTATGCTGGCATCATTGGCTGCACTCATATAACCCAAATTAATATATCTGAGCTGACTGCATGGTCAGTCTCACTCTGTTCCTCTTACAGATTTACCTCTCTTCTGATTTTGCAGTTGAAAGGAATAATACTTTTGTCAAAATCATTTTTTGAATCAGCAGAAAATTATAGTCCTTTCCATCCTATTTTTCCACCCTTTGGGTGTAGCAAAATGTCAATAAGGGATCATTTATATGAACTTTTAACTTTCTGGTCATAACCCAGAAAAATCATACACTGACCTGCTTGAGTCCACACACATGTAATATCCCACTGACATTACAGTGCTGCACAATACAAAGATAACACAAAAAGGGTGGCAAATCAAAATGGGGCTTTAATCACCTGCCATCTTTGGTAACACTGAGTTGCATAAAGCCACTAGTCTAACATAAACAAAATACAACACTTTATCAAATCCCAAACCAACTAAAGCTCGGAAGTTTTCGACTGTAGCCAAATATCAGAGTATTAAAGAATAATAAAGATTTAAACAGTGGGTAACTAAATTCAAAGACAGTTTATCAGAGGAGGTAGAGACTAGCATGGAGTTCATGGCTGAGTTGGAAGGAAGGCCATCTTGTCCAACACCCGTACTCAAGCCAGGCAAGTTTCTCAGGACCACATAAAAAGTTAAAATAGTTCTTAAATAGAGATTATTTGACCTCAAAATTTTGGATTAGGTATCTCTCACAATATTCATTCTTATATTACAGAGAGTAGTAAGTTTAATTAATTCATATAATACAGAGAGTAGTAAGTTTTCTACAGAAAATTGCAAAACAGATAAGTAATAGGGGCCCTTATAATCTTAAAATATCAAGGTAACACTTTCTGTACTCATGTTTTCTCTTTGTGGATGACAGGCAACAAGCCCAGCTTTGCATTGCCCTCTGAGCCTCATGCAACTCTGGTACAGCTTTGCAGCTACAGACTACAGGGGATTCCCTGCAGTCAAGCTGCTTGCTTCAGCAGGGCATCCAGCCAGTCCCAGAGGTCAGGAAGGAGTGCTTTTATGAGTGGGGATAGTCACATTCTTATCTGTATTTTTTTTGTTGTTTCTCTACTATCTAAATGCTTGGGAAGGGCCTTGTCAGGAGAAAGGAACCTGTGTAAGCCTCAATAAAGGATAAGTGCAAGGAGAAATATCCTCAGGTCCCTCTCTTCTGTGAGGGGGCAAATACAGGGTTGAATGGGAATTTCTAGGTGAAACTGGGGGTTTCCATCCCTCTGCCTCCTAGGGACTGGTATGTCCATGGACATCATTCAGACCTATCTGACTTCATCCATCCCCTACCACTGCAGGGGCTGCAGGCACTGCGTGTCTTGAACTACCCCTGCCCTGGATGCTGCCCATTTAAATAAGCTCACAATGGAAACACCACACAATGTATTTATGTTACATTTTACAGCTTTTGAGGTACAAACATTGCAGCTGACTCAATGGCCAGAACCAAGCAAAAAAGAAAAATCTCAGTCTCATTGAACATCTCTTTCCATCTAAGGCTGCTCTTCCCTTGAGGAGAAAATCCGCAACTGATATGAACCACAACACCTGCAGTGAATTTTGTGCATTCAGGAAGCTTGCCTCTAGTGACATGAGGATAAAGAAAGCCAAATTCATATCACCACATCCCTGGCCTTGCACAAGATCTTCCAGGGTCTATTTACATCGTGTCTATTTCCTAAATAAAACAAAAACTGGTTCTAAGGCTTCCTTAAGGAACAGATGCCTCCCAAAGTAATATTTACTGAAAATTTATTATTAGATTTGCAAGCAGCATGCCTATAATAAGAAAGAAATTAAATTAAATTACAAAAACAGAACCTACCATGTTGCAAGGCCAACACACCCTTAAACACAAATATGGCATTAGGAATAACGTGAAGGGATTGCACTGCTCATTTCATGACCCTCTTCAAGCATTGATTAGATTTTCAAATTTTGGGCTAATTTTGGTGCGGAATTTTCTCTTCTGTAAAGTACTGAACAGAGATAAAGGGAAGTAGTCACTCTCATTTTTGTGTCATTGAAACAGTGTTTCTGATAGATGTTCTGTTTATTAGGCTAGCAAAACTGAAGACAATCCTAACCTGATTACTCTACATATGGTAGAGTAAGATTTGGTGAATGGACTTTATTCCCATTTTTAATTTGTCTTGAATTTTTAACTGAAGAGTTTTTGCCACAGAAGGAGATTGCAGCAATATGCTTGTTCCTAATGTTTCTCTGTCAATATAAAGAATGCCAAAGCAAAGCAGAAGATTAATTCCCAAGCAATTTTTACACAGGTTCCCAAGAACAAACACTTATTCCCTATAGTCCTTGATCACTCCATGCATTTGTGGAAGCAGTTCCCTGCTTACATTCACAAGTCTAGGACTTCCAGAGTTAAATCCTATTTCTCTTTGTCACAGTTTTCTGTTCCAGAGCTGGCTGTGGTTAAACCCAGTGCACACAGACAGGGTCAATCCTACTCACACTGTGTGCTAGTTCATGCATGGGGCACACTCACTAGGAATTATTAACTAACAAGTCCTTAAAGCATTCCTCCTGCTGTGCACACCATCAGAAGACCCAAACTGAAATGACTTCTAAAGCCTACTTACCTTACTCCTCACAATTTGTGCTACTAAGCTTAGTCTCAAATCCATTCCAGTTTCATTCATGGGTTGCAGCTCTGACTCTCCTACAGCTAACTGGCATGAGTCAGGAATAGCACTTTCAAGGTTAATACTAATCAAAGTTGATGAGGATTTGTATTCCAGAAGAAGGAATTAGGTTGTACATCCCATGTCTTGGGTACTTGCAGAAGGCAGAACGACTGCATGTTTGCAATGCAACCCAGTGTGTGATAGCAGGGTTTTGTCATTAAAAAAATGCTTAAACAGACATTTCTGAATAGAAAAAATATGGAAGCTAATGGGAAGTGGTTTCTTACAAGGCTGAAGTTGGCTGTCCCAAAGCTCATCTTTAATTCAAGGAAAAAAATACTAAGAAAGCATGAACTTTGTTGTACTGTTTGGTATGACCTGGCCCAGTTTTGCTGTCTCTAAGGGAAGAGACTTAGCAGCCCAAGATATCTCTTCTCCTGCCCCTCAAGAAGGGCACTCCAGCTCTTATGAAGAGCAAAGGACTGCCACCTCTCCTTCCCCGCTAATGCAGAGGCAGTGAGGAGAAGAGGCAAAAGGACTTTTTCCCCTTTGGGCTCTACTGCAGAACCAAATTCCTCTTGCTGACACTGGGGTCATGCTAGCTGCTAGAGGAGCCTAAAATTCTGGATCATGAAGTCACATTTTGGCCCTGCAGATCTTTACTCTTGCATCTGTAATGAGTCATCCCCAGTCAGAGATGTTATCATAGCAAAGTACATCTGCAAACATTTTATTCAGTAACTAACAAACTAATCTTTTGGAAGCTGCATGACTCACTCTGCAGCATCAGAGAAAATTCCCTTGTTAAATACTATAGAGATAATTGCCCTTGAGAGCATGGCTGCTGTGAGGTGAAACAGCCATGGAGCTCAAAGCAAGCTGCTCCTCACAACTGCACGCACCTGCATTTTTGAAAATTCTTCTGAAATATTTTGGCTGGTGAGACGAGAACTTAAGAGCTTGCAAGAGATGGGAGTGTCTCCTCTGGGAGCAGCTCTAGAGCATCTGGCACATCCACCTTGGAGGGGGTGAGAGCAAAGTGAGGAGTTGTTTGAGCACACATGACCACCATGGCGTGCAAGTGTACACACAGGCATATTTTCATTTGTGTTAAGTGCAGAGGGTGAGATCAGCCCAAACTAGGGAGATACAGCTATTGGCTTTTATTGAAATGGAATTAATGGGGCTCTGCACTCTGATAATGATTCACTATGGCAGACTATTTTAATGTAATAATAAACTCTTCAAACCAATTTATCAGGGTATTAAGAGAGAAAATCCACTATAATTATACATGCAGTGTAACAAAACACTCCTCCCAAAATAATCATTGACCAAGGCTGAAATTAATGAGACACGTGTCAGGGACAAGGATTCTCCTGCATTGGGCATGATATGAACATACAGAAAATTACAGCACCTATTCCAAAAATAGAAAGTAGGGTTGAAAAGTTTGATGGCTGAAAGAAAAAAGATGAGACTCTGTACAAGGCTGGTGGCAGTTGGTAATAAGATGCAGCACAGGAGTGCTCCAGTGATGTACAAACAACAAAGAGCTTATAGAAGGAAAAAGAAGTCCCTGTAGAAGAAACATAGCTCCCATTAATACAATGGATAATCCCAATCCAGTGGAAAAGTGTCCTGTCCCAAGTGACATGGAAGCTGGGAACTTAACAGGAAAGGCAAAGAATTAATAACCAAAACCATTATATATCCTGCTCACCCCTGCTATGGTTCATTCAAGACAGGTTTGAGGCAGAGAGATGGAGCATGGGGTGGGGATGTACATATCATAACCTTTGATTGTGATAAACAGAGGACTACAGCCCCTGGAGCTGCCAAACCAGAGTCCTCCAGAGTAATTACTCCACATGTGCTCCTACACACATACTTGCCTGCAAAACACTGAATATCAGATCATGTTTTTAGAATCCCAAAGCGCCAAGAAATCAACATAGACTCCCCTACTTCCACTTTTAACCCCAAAATTTGCATTTA